GAATAAAAAACCGATGAAACTTAATAAATATTGCTACTCCGTCCTAAAATATAACAACTTATATCATTTAAAATCTACCTTAAAATATAATAACTTTTCAACCTGTCGAGGGGTGACCCTCTCTAGCGGGAGGCTGTGAGATCCCCTTTGTGAGTTTAGTCGGGGGACCGGGTGCAATACTGAAGAGCGTGTTCTCGTGCGAGCGAAGTGAGTCGGTGGGGGTCAAGCTTGCGAGGCAGAAGGCGAGAGAGCGAGAGAGAGGGATTATACAGGTTCGAGCCGCTACGGAGCGTAATACCGTACTCCTGTTTATATGATGATCTTCGTGTGGTTACAAAGACTTCAGATCCTAGGAGTGCTAGCTAGGGCTTGGCCGGTCTCTTCCCAGAATCCGGTTTTCTAAGAGACGTCTCTTTACTCGTTGGGTACGGTCCTCCTTTTTACCATATGCACCGCCCCTACGCTCTCCTCACAGGAAATGGGCCCACATTGCCTATATTAACAAGCATCTCATGCCTTGGGTCGGAAGCGATCCACGCGGCCGCTCTTGGGTGGCTCCCACTGAAGCTTTTCGTCTAACACGGGAGACATCCCCTGTCATTCCCTATTAAATGTTTGGCAACTTCGTAGGCACACGCGCGTGGGAGGTGGCGACCTGCATGTCCTTCCCTTGCGCATGATGGGACGGGGCATACCAGCTCCCACGCCGCCTGACACGAAACGGGACATGGATGCGTTGCCTCCTGTCCCATCCATCCGTCGCCGGGTCACAGACCGGTCAAAAAGTGGTCGCCAGGCGCACGTCTATCGGCGTGCGGCGCACGACCTGCCACACCGTATTAAATGCAACTGGGGCGGTTAGGGCGCTGCCCATAAATGCGCCTGGCGGACGGTACTCCCGCCCGCTCAAGCCCTCACACAGCTGCCACGTGGCAGCCGAGCGAGGGCTTCGGGGCGATCCAACCCCTCGGGCCCGAGGGGTGTGACGGGGCACCCTTGATCCCGAGAGTGGGGGGGGGGGGATGGCCGCTCCTTTTCCGAGGGCGCGACTCACTCGGGGGAACTAGGCCCACCCTACGTGCCATACGGAAAGGGATTTCTTTCCCCCTAGACCGGGGACCCCGTGCCCATATCACCGACACAACCTATATTTTTCTTCTCAACCAATTATAATTTTCTACCATTTAAGTTCTTCGTCCACCTCCTTCCATCAGCAAACCACAAACTCTTTCTATTTAATTTCACATATTTATTGATATCCGTGTCTAACATAAAAACCCTTATATTCTTGTAAGAGGTAGTACTAAATTTTCGAAATTTAGTTTCTTTTACTTTTAATTTTTTTGCCATTTTAGTAAGCGATTTCTAACATGGTAATATTAATAACAAGTAGTTCTCGTCGCATTTTCAAACATGTATTCTTGTCAAGTTATAACCTCGTTCAGATTACCTGCACGTGCGACGGTGGTGTTATCGCGTCGTGTCCTTCTTATAAGTGTCGCTTAGGAGGTTTGTTATTGCCTCTTCGCCATAAGATAGTTGGATCGATGATTTTGGATGCGGCTGGTCTATACAAAGGATGAGTGGATCTTTTTCTCTCTTGCTCTCTCCAGATGCGATCTTTCTCTCTCGCTCTCTTTATAAGATAGTTGTTTGGAGGCGTTGGTGGACGGTTTAGTGGCGGCTGTGTTATAGGTTTGGCAGTGTCCATCTCGCATTGTCACCACAAATTGGTGGTTTTTCTTTTCTTTTTCCTGTTAACAATCTCTCAAGGATGTAGTTTTCAAAAAAAAAAATACTATATCGATATAAAACATTGCACCATCTTATACTATTTGTTTTAAAAAAAAACACTAAGATGCATATACATACCACTATACATGCAAGCACCCATGAGTGTGCACACTTTACCATACATAATAAATGAAGACTAGCAGTAAATTTCTAACCTCCATATCTCACAAAGTTTTGATTGAAAATATATATGCATGTGTGCAGGGGCGTTCCTACACTATACTACCCGGGTAATGACCCCGGGTAGAATTTTAATATTTAGATGGTTTAGTCTATATTAACTATATTATTAGTTAAAAATTAACTAATAATATACATGTTATGACAGGTAAAAGACCTCGGTAATTTTCGTTCTGGATTCGTCCTGCATGTGTGAAATTCTAACCATTAGGTTTTTTTACCCTGATCAATGTACTCATACCATCACGAAATTTACCACTGTCGCTTCTTCTCTTATCAAATTTTCGAGGATGAGAAACATGTTAGTAAACCTTTTCTTGCTTGCACAAATGCTCGAAAATGACATGGATGAGACATATGTTATTTCGGTTGTGTATGAAAAGCTTTTAGCTACTGCAGCTTATCCAAAATCTTAAGCTTCCCAAATAGTTTAGATTATTACCTAAATCCTAAATCAATACTAACTACAAAATCCAAAGAAACAGGCTAGTGATAAGAAACCGGGAAACACAACCTTTTAGATTCTTACTAGCTGGCTTTTTATTATTTCCCGTCCCAAAATATAACAACTTTTAGCCTTTTAAATTTGTCCCGAAATATAACAAATTCTGCATCAATATTCACTTCTCAACCAATAACAACATTCCACTGTTCAATTTACCCACCTACCTATTATCAACCAATCACAATCTCCCACCATTTAATTCTACTTACTTTCTAAATAACCGTATACAACTCTAAAACTTTTTATATTTTGAGACGAAAGGAGTTATTGTTTTTCATAATCTCTAGCTTCTCAAACATAACCTTGTAAAAAAGGGCAGAAAAGGAGGCATTTCCTTTTCTTAGCTGTCCAAAATGAGAGCAAAATAAGATTAAACACGGCAGAAAACTCAACTATATGAGAAGAACATGACACCTAAAGGAAACCTTCATTGCGGCTGGTCCATAAAAAACAAAAGGCAAAAACACATGTTCAGTCAACGATAAGTAACTTGCCAAGACACGAAATTTGGAGTGTGGCGCCGATAACTGATAAGATAGGAACTGGAAAAGCATCAAACCAGCAAATCACTAATCAGCAAACAGTCCAGCTTTGGTTAGTGGATCTAAAAGGACCAAACCCAAGTGCGTCGTCAAACTTTTCTGCTTAACGATCACACGCTGCCCAAACAAAACTCGCCAGCGGCATCGCTGGGAAAGGACACCTGGTGACATGTGCGAGACTAACAGCAAATGTGGCTATCTTTCACTGAATTTCCAATTCAATAGTAACACTGGAAGAGTGAGAGAGCAGCCTAATCCACCTGCTCACTCTACCTGTCTTTTTTTATGTCAGGGATAAGGTACCTGTGTTTACAAATTACACATCAATAAACTGAAAATTAATGCTCCACGTGGGCACCGTGTCCACATAACATAGTGTCAGTCAACAGAGTATTTGATGTTGATTACACACAAAGATGATTTTCCAGAGTACAGGGATGATTACTGCACGGAACGTACAAGGATCAAGGGCTAATTAAGTTTGGTACTGTGCCAGGTAGTACTTGAGGGTATATTTGGTTGCCAGGCAGGTTGTCGCAATTTGCTGACAGAAGTAGACAAACTTACTCAAGGTTTGGTGTTCAGAGTTCTTAACAAGTCTAACAGAATCTTGTTTCTTTTTTAACATAAGCCAGCAAATGCTTATGTTATATTGAGCAGATGAGTAGTAGAAATATGTATAACTTCACCAAAGATGAAGAAACTGACTCCAGTAGCCCGAAGACAGCCGAGAAAAGAAAAACGCACACATATGCATCAGTTTTGTAAGTTATTGATGCCTAGTAATTTGTTGGAAGTGAATTTTCCTACAAATATGGCTAACCAAACAGCTAATGTTTCAAATCACTTATCATCCAAATTTTGTTTGAAGTTAAAACATTTATATCTTTGACTATCAATATTTAGATATTAATATGATTTAACATTACAATATTTATCTTTTTTCATCATGACAAGTATTTTTCATAAATAATATTACAATTCATATGTTGTTAAGCTATATAATTTTTTTAAAGATTGATAGTAAAAAAGATAACATCTTTTACTTAGGACAAAGCTAAAAAGATAGGTAATTGAAAAAAAGAGTATTTAAATTAGTTTAACTTTAGACGCATCAGATTGTGACAAGTTAGCAAGCAAACATCCCCTAGCTAGTGAGCCTGAGTGTTTGCTCAGGTGGTTAGTGTCGCCGGTGGGCACACTACCTGCGAGCGTTCGAACCCTACGTTCGATGGCTCGTGCTCTCCTGGGGAGGTTTTGTTTTCCCTTTTTTTCCCGAGACTGACTTCGGTTGGTTCCGGTTAGGTATAAGGGTAAACATACACGTGAGCGTTCACTGGTACTGCACGTTTCCGGTGCCTCCAATTTCATTCTTAGCGTGTGTTAGGGATACGCAAACGTGTGTGCGTGTGGCGTGGACTTGTGGTGTATGTGTGGTGTGTGTTCATGTGCATCCTGAATTTTACTTCCCTCTAAAAACACATCCCCTAGCTAGTAGCTGCTGGTAAACTACCGTCCTGAGCAACAGAGAAGCAAAGCAATGAGTTGACGCGACCGAATCCGCGACGCCGCCCTCGCACCGCAAGGGCCACGCCAATTTGGTGCTCGATCGATCGGAACGCGCGCGGCGCTCCACGGCCATGTCCCACCGCACGAACCGCGCGGCCGCCCGCCAACCGAGCTAGCGCGCGGCCCCGGCCGCCGCCATGCTAACACACACCCGATGCGTTGCATTGCATGGCCGCTCCACGACGCCTCCCGCCCGCCTCGCGCCACCACGGCCACGCGGTGCACCAGCTATAGCTAGCTAGCTAGGCGCATGGGGAGACGCTCCACGACGCCCACTGCACTCCCGACACGTTTCCCCCAACCAACCACCACGCACCAACCCAAAACCATCCATCCATCCAGCCAGCCAAGCCAATCTCCCGGCTCCCTCCGCTACGCGCCCCACGACCTTTTTCCCATCACCCGCCCGCGCGCGCGGTCGAGCGCAACGCAACGCAACTCCACCGTACCAACCGCGGCGCGGCCGATCGATCGACGCGAATCCCGCATGCGTATACGTACTATTCTACGTGAAGTATATGTGTAGCCGATCGAGCCGTCTCCCACCGCGCGCTCCCTCCCTGCCCCCGCGACAGCGACGCCGAGCGAGCGAGAGCGCGCAGCTAGCCACAGCCTCCAGAGCTATAGCTACAGCGCGATCGAGAGAGAAGGGGGGAGACAGTGAGGCCGAGAGCGAGAGGGCCAGCCACGCACGCACGCACGCCACCGCGCTCCATTGGCCACCCCCTCGCCATCGCCACGATTAAACTACTCTCTTGCTACTCCCCCTCCATCCATCCACACACTCCACCATTTCCTCTTCTTCTTCCTCCATATCACACGGTTTTCGTCCATCGATCATCAGAGCTCGATCGGGCGCCATGGATGGGGAGGAGGACAGCGAGTGGATGATGATGGACGTTGGAGGGAAGGGCGGGAAGGGCGGCGGCGGCGGCGGCGCGGCGGACAGGAAGAAGCGGTTCAGCGAGGAGCAGATCAAGTCGCTGGAGTCCATGTTCGCGACGCAGACCAAGCTGGAGCCGAGGCAGAAGCTGCAGCTCGCCAGGGAGCTCGGCCTGCAGCCTCGCCAGGTCGCCATCTGGTTCCAGAACAAGCGCGCGCGGTGGAAGTCCAAGCAGCTCGAGCGCGAGTACTCCGCCCTCCGCGACGACTACGACGCCCTCCTCTGCAGCTACGAGTCCCTCAAGAAGGAGAAGCTCGCCCTCATCAAGCAGGCACGCACATCGTCGTCCTCATCGATTCTTGATCGCTTTCTTTCTTGCTTGCCTTTTGCATCGATTCTGACGCGTGATCGGTGCGTTCTTGCAGCTGGAGAAGCTGGCGGAGATGCTGCAGGAGCCACGGGGGAAGTACGGCGATAATGCCGGGGACGACGCGCGGTCGGGCGGCGTCGCCGGCATGAAGAAGGAGGAGTTCGTCGGCGCGGGCGGCGCCGCCACGCTCTACTCGTCGGCCGAGGGTGGCGGGACGACGACGACGACGACGGCCAAGTTGATGCCCCACTTCGGCAGCGACGACGTCGACGCGGGGCTCTTCCTCCGGCCGTCGTCGCAGCATCATCCGCCGCCGCCGCACGCCGGTGCCGGCTTCACGTCCTCCGAGCCGGCCGCCGACCACCAGTCCTTCAACTTCCACTCGAGCTGGCCGTCGTCCACGGAGCAGACCTGCAGCAGCACGCCATGGTGGGAATTCGAGAGCGAGTGAGCATCCACACTGTTACTACTAGGCTACTCATGGATGATCCATCGATCGCCACAGATCATGCATGCCACGATCAGAATTTCAATTCGCCGCGAGGACGGATCAAACCTGTACTAGATCGGATCAGAGCAAACATAGCAGAGAAGATGATCAAACCAACAGTGATGTGTACATAGCTTTCTGTAGATCAAAACCCCAGGCAGTCTCCTCTCCATCCAGCCATCAGCATGCGAAAATTCTCTCTCTCTTTTTTTCCCCTCCAAGTCTTACTCGACTTCGATGTTGTTATCACAACACCACATCATGTAATCCAGCAACACGCCGAGATGAAAAAAAGGTTAAAAAGCTTATAGAGTTCGTTCATTTGATGGATCCAATGGCCGCTTCAGTTTTCGCCTTTATGATTTCTTCCAATGGATGGATCAATGAATCTTTATGCTTTCTTCCAATGGTGGATCGATGAATGCTACAAAAAAAAAAACTAGATAGGTTCAAGAAAGAAAGAAAGTGAAGAGAGGAAAAGGATGTGTGCATCCATGTAGATCAAGATTCCCGAGCAGGTGAGGGGATGAGAATCGAACAACACACATTCGCTCACTCACACGTACTACGCTACAGTACGGGACAATACAGAGTGGCACAGATCACAGAACATGCGAGCCGCCATTGTTAATTTCAAGCAAATGTAAGAGGCGCGTGGGATTAGTCAGCCCAAATATATATATATCATACCATTTGATCGGAGATTGATTTTGTAGTGTAGTGTAGTCCTGATCAGTTTAGCACACCCCATTTAGACACAAACCTTTGCAGAGTTGGGACAAATTAACCCGAACTCATGGCACCTTTGGAACCTAATTAAGATTTCTACAGAGTTTTCATATATAGTAGTTTGATTCCTACGAAAATCTTTCAAAATCCTCCTGTTCCAAACGAGCCCTTCAGCTTGCTGCGCTTACAGGATAAACGACTGATGAGTAGTCGCATTTTTCTGCAAGATCAGAAGGCCATTTTTTATGACTAAAGCTAGAATTTTGTGAGAAGGCTGAAGAGTGCAAGGCTGAGTAATCAATCCGGATACAAGCAGTAGCAGTTTTAGTCAAAGACAAGACCCACCCAGGACAATGACAGCCACCATGTTAATCCTTCGTTTATCCTAGGTAGAAGTGATAGTAATAATTTACCCGGCATACTTCTTTTCCATCCTGACAGCGACCAGCTCCAACGTGTCAACAATCCAGTACATGCTAGCTCACCCACAAGGCCACAAACTAAAATGGTGATCCAAAACCAAAATTTCACTTATCAATTAAGCAACTTATTTACTTACAGTAATTAATGGCGATGGTATCACCCACTGTTTCTTGGGCACGTACGTAACCCCGGACGAATTAGGTTGCTTTCTCTGGCGAACGATCAGGTCTCTTTCTTTCGTCTTCAACTGTTGTGTGGGCTCCATGGCATAATTACATGTCACTGTTCAGACACAGTGACGATCAGAATCGTTGAACACAAATTCTATGTTCGATGGGCACTAGCCAAGCAGCCAAGAGTATGAAACTCTGAAAAAGAAAAATGGAGAGGAAAAAATATTGAGTTGAGCTTGCTAGCTCCAGAATATCACAGGCGCTTGTCGTGTTATCTTGAGGGTGGTTAGCATTGCTTCCATCTAACCGATATGGGTTCCACTCAAATGTGACAACTCATGAGCCCAACATATTATAAGCAAATTGCAATCCTGTCAAGAACAAAGACCCCATCAGTGAAGGCAAAGGGCAAAGCAAAGCAAATATAATGGACTAGCAATATATAAAAAAAACTCTTCACCTAGTCACAGAATTGTAGCCACTTGTACACCCTGTGATGTGAATGCAAGGGTTCTGTCATCAAGCCGTTGTCCACGTGGATTGCTTATCACTTACTCGTGTGACATTACCTTGGATGAGTTAGAATATACAGAGGCTTTTCTCAGTGGATGCTTGATACACTCCAATAAGAGACTGAAAGACTCCAAGCACGCAGTTTCAATTTGGATATTCAACTTTAGATGCGATTAGGTGTCAACTCCAGATAAGTTGCAGATCATTCAAAAGATGAGCACCACGCATGGTAGTACATCAATTTACTACATATCTGGAACACATGATTTACGTAATACTAGTAATAATTAAAACAAAGATTTGTATGGAATTCCTAGAGATGAAACTCAGTGGAACAAACAGGGTCTTGCACTCTCATCTTCATCCATGGACGTGTTGTACTGGGAGTTTGAAACCAATAGCATCTTTGACTTGATTACTGATGCACAACGACTAAATGATTTGGACTAAATGATTTGGATACATAGCTTTTGGGACTTATCTGGGCAGGCGTGACTCGTTAATTTAAAAAGCTCCCATGCTTGGAACAATCCAAAGACTGAGGGTAGTACAGCCATCAAAGAAGAAATATGAGAAAATGATCTCAAATTATTCTCACATATCTTTCAAAATAAACATATGGACTACATCATACGATCGCTCGCTACAAGTCACTGTTACGTCCTAAAGATACTCTGCATCTCATATATGCTTATATACATAATATTCCAGGCTGATGTCAAGATCAAGGTTTACTTCTAATTTAATGCAGTCTTGTATTCATAATATATCTTCCGTCCCCTTAAGTTCCATTAGACCATAGCAAATTCCATGGTAGCTCAGTAGCTCACCATCATAGTATCCACGTCACTTTAGGAGAAATCACCAAACGATTTAAGTACCTGAATTAATTGCATTCATGTGATAAACTGGTGATAATAGTCAAAATCATAAATAGGAAAGATTAGACATTGAAGCGCCCCAAGTATACAGATGAATTTCCTAATTTCAACTAGCTGACTTCGAAAGGGAAATCGACCAGCCAACACAGCATAAGACAACCGTTTCTCTGTTTAACAAACCAGAAGGCAATCTATCCTATGTACTATATAGGACCATAGACTACATTGCAGAAAGAATCTAGGGGCAACTGCCAACTGGATTAGCAAATGAATGGAGTACACAGCAGTATCCAGTAGGACCAGAATGAGGAAATGGTTATCAGATCAGACGAATGATAAGATATAAGCTTACAGATTTACTATTAATTGTCAGTTGCATAATAGTCTATTGACTGATAGATGAGGCATGGCATTCCTAGTCCAGATGGTGCTACTCTTTGGATAAACCAAAATAAGGTAAACACAACTACTCAGCATGCAGCACCTAATAAGCAACCATTTTTCCCTTGAGCTAGCTGAGCTGCAGATAATTTATGCTCATGTAGGATGATAGATTACAGGGTTATTACTTCAATCATTAGGTAAGCTGAACAAATGATGTGGCACACAATACGAGAATACATACAGATCTATTGGTAAGAAACAGTTGATACAAGGAAATTTGAGTTGTTAATTCACAAATCATACCTAAAGCAAAGCATAAATAAAAATCCTTACCTTTGCAGTTGGGTCCTCTCAATGCTCCGGTTTCACTTTAACATCACCATTAGGCAAGGCGCTTTGGGACTGAGCCAGCTGTTTTGATTCCTGGATAAAAACAAAATATTTAGAAATCAGTTGGATATAAAAACGAAAGAATTAGTACACCCAGAAGAACTAAATATGCATTCTGATAATTGAATAATGAAGCTTGATATAATACCAAAAGATGATCACCACAACATTGCTGGCCCATTGGACCAGCTATGGGCATTCATATGCAAATCCTGAAACAGAAACTACATTCCAGAACTTACAGCAGCAGCAGTAGCGCGTATCTCCCTGTATGCTTCTACATCCTCAGGAAAAGCTTGCTCCAGCTCCTCAAGAAGATGCTTCCGCAGGCTCTGAAACAAACAAGTTGCAAGGAAAATAATTCAATTTGTATTACTAAGTAAGTTCAAATGAAAGACGATGTCAATTTTTCATCTGAATACAGGAAATAATTAAATAGTAATGTAAAAGGTTGTAAAAGATGAATGCCTGTAACCAAACACCATATAAGAAAATAGCAGATGTTTAACTTGGAGAAATCAATCATGGATCAAATTATAGTTTAAAATACAAACTAACAATGTTGATACTCCCTACTACATTGATTCTTATATGGCATATTTTAATTTCAAAAAGGCCAAACTTTGTAGATTTTGATCAATGATTAGACAAATTAAAGGAACCATTTAGTTAGTGTATAAAAAGTATATCAATAGCTTTGTACTTTAAAGTGATCTCACATACTATTGGATTTATTACTATTATGAGTATAATTTATAAGAAATCAATAGACGAAGTTAATGTTGAAGACTTCTTCAAATTAAAATACAGCATATAAAAATCAATGGAGGTAGTTTATAAAACGTATCCATGACACAGACTAATGCAGATCACAACTATATGCACCTCATAAAAAAAATATCAAAAGGCTAAAAAAAATCTGGGCCTAACAGTTATACATCTATCAATAAATGCTATAGAAGTATTGGATGAGAATTTCCATCTATTTGTTTCAATGAGGACCATCAACTTATACAGCTAGATGTACCAGTGATAGGAATCTGTCTAGCTAGTACAACAAACTTTGTCCCCACAATTCGCCTAAAATTAATTAGAGCATATTGTTGGAAGTCAATGAGAGCAATACAATAAGCAAAATGTGTACTTAATAACTGACTAGCTAGACAGAAGATACTAGACCATAACCAATTTCACTGGGTTAAAAGGGATTAGTATATGCTCCTGGATACGGTTTGGATGAGAATGTTTGAAATGAGATAAGCAAGGCTCTTGCTGATTCTTTTCATTCAAGTGTCATTGATTCCCTTGAAACTACATTTAAACCTTCTTATCTAAAAATCAACATAAGACTAATAACACGAACAATAACACCCCTTAGGGCGGGGGGAGCGGCAATTGCAGTTTGGATCAAGAGTTTCCCTTTGAACAGATCTAAATCTCTACTTAGCAACTGCCAGGGAATACCTAAATCTCTACTTAGCACCTAGAATCAAAATAGCACATGCTATGTCAGCATTAACCAATTGTAACATACCTTGAAAGCATCGGTCTTGCCCTTAGTGACCTGGTTCTTTGCGATGCAGCTGTTGAGCACGTCTCGGGTGAACTCGTCAGGATTCTTCCCGTCATCGATCAAACTAGCAAAACAGGCACCAATCCAATCCAATCCAATCCAAGTCATACACCCAGAACCAGGGGGCGAAAGGGGTACTGAGATGGAAATCGAACCAACTCACTTGACGACCTCCATGGGGACCTGGATGTTGCATCCCTCGGCGTGCTTCTGCATCGTGTCGAGCTCCGCCACCAGCGAGTTCCTGCGGCAAACGAGACAATCACCAACCAAACCCTAAGATTTCTCCACCCACTCACACCCGCACAGGAAGGGGGAGAGGGGGATTTGCTGGGAGAATCTCACAGGCGCTGGAGGAGGGGTAGCTGGGAGGCGGAGCTGAAGGAGGAGACGTTGAGGTTGAGCTGGTGGAGGAGCCCCAGCGTCCTCTGGATCGAGGCCATCATCAGCGCCAGGTTCTGCTTCGACGCGTCCTCCGCCCTCTCGCCCCCGCCCCCCGCCTGCACGCCGTTCCCCGCCGCCGCTGCCGCCGCGGCGACTCCAGATGCGTTCGTGGCCGCGCCGCCGTCCATTCCGCCGCGATCGGAGAAGACGAGAGAGAGAGAGAGAGAGAGAGAGAGAAGAGAGACCGAGACTTGACGTGTCGGCCCAATATATCAGCGGCCTATTGCTGGGCTGACGTGGACGTAACACCATCACGGGCTCTTCCCGAAGCGCATGGGCCGCAACTCCCTAATTCGGGCCCAGTTTAACTGGGCCGTGCTGTCCTAGGCCGAGAAGCATCGGAAGTTTTTCTTTTTCTTTTTCTTTTTCTTTTCTTGCTATATGCTACTTCCTCCGTTCCATAATGAACTTTCTAGCATTGCACATATTCATATAAACTTACATTATGAGAAAAGTACTAAAATTTAGGGATGCAAGTGGGTAGTCCCGCTATCCGTATAAAAACCCGCTTGCTAGTTCATTTCCCATATAGTAGTATAAAATTTAGAAGAAAAAAATAAACTAGAAGAAGCGGGCTAAAAAAACCTATTTGCCCGTCCCGCTTGTATCCCTATTACATACAAAAGTTGGAAATATTATTAGCCATGCAAAGGTAAAAATGGAGATTGATTGGTTGGTGCGTGTCCCACCATCATCAAATCATAGGTTGATAACCAGTCCATGTACAGTGCACATACGCTTCCTCGTCGGTATTCATACGTGTTACATATGACAAACAAACGAGATAACGAGATAAGCGTCGTCACTCGGTCGCTAGCTAGCTAGATAGCTTAACTTGCTTTGTTTGGAGGCCCGTCTCCATCATATCCATCCAATCTGATCTCATGGCCGCTAGCTGCAGGGTGAGTCCGCAGTGTGAGTGATCAGCTGACTCGATCGATGTGCATGCATGGTGCATGCGACCGGTGCAACGTACCGTACGTTGCGTACCCTGCCCTCCCCTGCCGGTATACGTGTTGTGCCACTGCCACGTCAGTGACAACAGTCTCATCGTTTGGTCAACAGCTGATGACTCATAGGAAAATAAACAAAACAATAGAATAAATAAAGCTTTATTTGTGTTCTTGATGAGTTAAAAGTGGATGGTGAAAAATAAACCATCGTTAAGAAAAGAAATTCAAAAAACCAGCTCAATTAAGTTTTAGAACACACATAAAACTAATTTGATTGTGGCTTATAAGCTAACAATCAAACAATTGGGCTGCGAGTTTTGGGACGACGCCGTACGTCGTGTACCATACAGGTCATGTCATCAGCAAGAGCTGGCCAAAGTTGAGGACGCCGACTCGCAAACCGATCGTCCAAGCTAATTATTAAGCTAGCTAATCGATCGATCAGTCGACCGATCGAGAGATCGCCGTGTGATTGCTTACGTGCATGGTCCCTGCAGCTAGCTAACTAGCTAGCAAAAACGTACAAAAAGATCCCATGAAAACTACCATGTACCGACGACACGTACGTTAACGTTACGCCGTGGCATGGGCATCAGGGCATGCAACTAGGTACTAGCTCGATATCTCAGCTGTTGGCGAGCTAGTTGTGCATTTACACTTAGGACTTATTTAAGAGCTTCTAACTACTAAACAAAAAATTGGAAAACCTAGTTTTTTTTTAAAAAAAATTAGAAACTAACTATCAACGCCGCCAGTTACTCCTCAGAATCTTGAGCTCTCGAAATAAGCCCTTAAACAGCTAGCTAGCTGAGCACAAGAACGACAAGGCCGGCCAGCCGGCTCCCTGTCGCCGCTTTGTCCGAGTGGCCGGCCGGCGAGCGAAAGGGGCTTGCGCGCATTGGATTAACTACGATTATATTCCGACGATTTTAGCAAGGAAAAGAACATCAGCAAGGTAACAAATTTGCAAAGATATTCGCTTCTCGATCGAGATCTGTCCGGCAATCAGCTGGCTGGCCGATCGAGACGATAGCTAGCTATAGCGCAGATCGCCGTCAGTCCAAACCACCGGCCGTCACCCGCACCCACCCGCGGCGCCACCTTTATACCGCGATTCGATGCGATGCGATGAGATGAGAGATGCTTCGATCTCTCTCTCCCCTCGCCGGCGCACCCAGCGTTCCGGGCACTGACCCGCCGCCCAATCGGCTGCGATATTCGCCGTGCACCTCCGCTCACGGTTGCTAGCTAGCTTTGTACCACCCTTACCCGTGCCGCCCATTGCATCATCGATCAGTACGTACACAAAAAACCGGAATAAGTTCGTACCGCGTACGGGCCCGGCGATCGGTACATGCATATGCGCGCTGCTAGTGGATCGCCGTCGTCGTCGGCGGCGTCCGCCTCGTACGTCCACTTGGCCACCGTGCTGGTGATCGATCGATCGCCGGATCGGAGGCAGGGGTATATGCGTAGAGGTAGGCATCTCGTCAGACACAAGTAGCTTGACCCGTGTGGCGTTCATGGCGGGGCCCCGGGGTTGGATCTGATAAGATCCACCGTGCCACAGCCGGCGAATCAGCCAGCTATAGCTACCCTCGCCGGCCTCTGCATCGCATTCGCTCGTGGCTACACGTGCGGCTGCGGCCTGCGCTGCGGCACAATATCTGGAACAAACCGGCCACTCGCGTGCTCCGCCGGGCGCCAATAATAATGCAAAATCACCTCGATCTTTACTTGCACCCGGAGCCCCGCACTAGTGGAGAAACCATCTTTGGTCGCTAGACCAAATTCCACAATAATACTGGTTCCATTAAAAACCGGGACTAAAGATGATTTTTAGTCCGGTTCATCCCCTGTCAGATGTATGTCAGGGGCCGAGGATCTTTAGTAGATTACCACTTTAGTCCGGGACTAAAGATTGATCTTTAGTTCCGGTTGGAGTTATCAACCGGGAGTAAATATTTCTCTCCCACATCTGATCGGTTAAGTCCCAGACAGATATTTAGATAAGATTGGATCATCCCATCTCTTCCTCTTCTCGATCCAATCCCCTTCCTCCTCCCCTCCCCCCTCTTCCTCCCCCCTTCCTCTTCTCCTCCTCCCCTCTCCTCCCTCCCATAAGCCGGCCCTTCCTCCTCCTCCCCTCTACTCCCTCTTCCATCAGCCGGCCGGCGGCGGGCGGTGGCAGCGCGGCCGCGCGGGGTAGGATGGCGGCAGGCTGCGAGCGGTGGCCGGCTCGTTTGTTTTTTTATATATAATTTGTGTTTCACTATATGTATATTTTTTTAGATTTTGTGATTCATTGCATCGCATGGATCTGACATGTATAATCTGTGATGTATTTAATTTATGTGTAGTTTTTTAGGATTTATGATGTATTTGATATGTGTGTAGGATTTGTGATGTATTTGATCTGTGTGTATGAGTAACTTAATATTTAGGATGTTGATTTGGGATATGCATCCCACTCGATTTGGGAAAAATATAGGGATTAACTCTAGCCATTAGCAAATCAACAATGAAAAAAAAAGACCTCAAGGGATTGCCGCTACCCCTCTTCAGGGACTAAAGATTACCCCTCTTTACTCCAACCGGGACTACCTGGATTCGTAGTCCCGGTTGAAAAACCGAGGGTTCTAAACCGGGAGTAAAAAATATTTCTCCACCAGTGCCGGACGGCGGATCACAGTGATCGGCATCAAGAATTACCATATCCACGTATTAATTCCAGCGTCCAAAATTACCAAAGCCACTCAAAAGAATTAGTTATAATTACTATACCTCCATATTAAAACATAAAGATTTTTGGAAGTAGTTATATAATATTCGATAGTTTTTTGAATGAAAAACTTTCAACTGCAACTACTATATAATTACAATTACAATGTAGTTGTAGGAGTACCATGTAACTACAATATAAGCTATCTGTGACTCAAATGTAACTTGGAAGAATTTGATGGAGCGATTGGTTATTTCAATGAGCATGTAGTCTGTAGGTCTCGGGTTCAATTCTTGTAGTGAGCGTGTGGTTTTTTTTTTCCATTTTTTCCACCACAGCACAAAGCTCAAAGCATATCGGACGGTTTAAAGTTTGCTGCAGGTCTCGGGTTCAATTCTTGCCGTGAGCGTGTGGTTTTTTTTTTCATTTTTTCCTCCACAGCACAAAGCTCAAAGCTAAGCATATCGGACGGTTTAAAATTTGACAGTTTTCACCCCTGAAAACTGTGGTGAAAACTGTCGACAGTAGGATAGCAAATCCGTTTTTAGATTGTACAAAGATATTTTTAAAATATGTATAATTAGGGGCAGACTCACACCTCAGATCACTCGGGCCATGGCCCGAAGACTGCCCATTAATTATGATGGATATATTTTCACCATGTAATCATTATGCATAGGCTAATTAATTATGTGGATATATTTTCACCATGTAATCATTATGCATAGGCTAATGTGCCTTACCAATTTTTTGGCAACTTAAATAGTACATGTGTTTGGATTGAGCACAACCAATTGGTAGTGCCCATGTTTTATTTGGCCAAATTATAGAAGTTTTTCACTACGATACCAAAATTTGGCTTCATATTGATCCCAATCGAAACAAGAACCATATAACTTTACCTTAACGAAATATTAGTAGTGCTAAAATTTGCCTAGATTTTGGCACTAGTAATAAATTGTTAGGGTAGGATCCAAACATGCCCTTAACTCTTTTATAGGCTAGCCCTGACCATGGACCAATCCTAGATCACTTCCTAGGTGGAACTAAATGAAAAAGTTATGATTTGTTAAGAACATAAGTAGATAGAGAAGTTATATTTTGGTATAAATTTTAGGAACTGCCTATATGACTTTTGACATGAAAAACCCCCTCAAATGTTGTAAATTTTGAACTATTGGATCACTTTAAGATTTGTGCAACATAGCCAAAACCTTTTCTTTCTCCTTCCCTTCCTCAGTCCCGCTTGCACATGCGCATGCACACTCCTCCTGCGCCGGCTGCAGCCCGGTCTCATCGGATGGTCGGAATTGGTTAACAATACCAAGTCCTCTCTCTCCGGCCGGCCTCCCCCCTTCTCTTTCGCAAAGCTATGGTGCCCCCACCCAAGGTCTTACCCGTCTCTAGCCGCCGGATCCTTCATCACCAGTCGTTGCCTCCTCTACAGTCTCGTTGTTTGCCCCCGTCTTCAACGCCGGCCCACTGCCCACTGCCAACCCCCAT